TGTGAACAAAATGTCATGGCAGTCCAATATTTGTCGAGATATTTCTGGATCAAACCAACACGTGTTACCACGCCGCTAGCATGACTGAAAACAACAAAACCATAAAAAAACAAAATAAATTTATGATATTTTTAAATATAGTTTACCAATTAAATGTAATGAATATAGTGAGAACCATCAAATAAAAGAGATACAATGATAATAAAATCAGGACTCGTTGGGACAATGCTCTGAGATATTTTGCCGTTTTGCTGAGTGTGTTGAATTCTTGGTATCTTGGTTATAGTTCTAATAAATATTTTGGTTCTTCTGTCTCTCTGCAGGTTGCAGTGTAGCAGGAAGTGTTGCTCTGTCTCTTCCTCTTGTCAGAAGTATCACAGCTTTTATAGTGCAATAGTTTCTCTTTTCTTTGCTATAATTGCAGTCTATAATATCTATCATTTCTTTCTGCCCCTTTTACTCTCTGTTGCTCACTGTGTCCGTTATCTCTCCTTCCCTCTCACATACTCTCCCTTTCTTTCTCTCTCCTCTACTCTCCCCCAGTCATTTCTTTCTCACTTGCTTTCAGGCATTCACTCTTCCTAACAGTTTTTCTTTCTCAAATTTCTTTACACACACACACACACACACACACACACACACACACACACACACACACACACACACACACACATCCAGCCATATCTAAATTCCCTGTGGCACTGTGCAAAGGCCATGCAGAGAGAGAGAGAGAGAGAGAGAGAGAGAGAGAGAGAGAGAGAGAGAGCACAAAACTGAGGATCTGTGTTCACTAAAAGAAGACAGTGAAAGATAATGATGTAACCACATCAACAGTTTTTTTTACCACAGTGAAGGACACATATGGACTGTACGTTGTGTACCTGTGTGTGTGTGTGTGTGTGTGTGTGTGTAGAGAGAGAGAGAAAGAGAGAGAGAGAGTGTCACTCTGCCTTTCTGCTCTGCTGCTTTTGTCACCTCTGCAGGGCCTCGGTGCCTCCGAACATCCTTTTACTGAGAATCCAGTACGTCACTGTGTGTCTGTACACTGCGAGTTCATCCATGTGTCACTGCACGATGCACACACGTTACATGTGTTAAACCTACTGTGTGTGTGTGTGTGTGTGTGTGTGTGAGAGAGAGAGAGAGAGAGAGAGAGAGAGAGAGAGATGGCCGGACTTTTTGCATGTTGTGTGCATCCATTCCTGCATTTGTTTGTTTCACTGACAAGGAGTGTGGTAATAAGTATGGATGGTCCTACATACTCGAGTACTCGTTTGGTTGTCAGTATTCGTTCAACGCTTTCAGTCACACATGAAAGACCAGCCATGAAAGTGATGTTTGGAAGTATAAAAAAAAAAAAAAAAACTTGAAGAAGTGAACGTGCATTGCAAGCTATGCAACATGAAACTTGTGAATCATAGAACAACCGTTTGTAGTGTAAACACAAGGACAGTGGAGACGGACAACAGGCGACCTCTCACCACCTCATTTGCTACGAGGGAGGAGAAGATTAGCCGCCTCATAGCAAAAACATTTCCTCGAGATTTGCTTCCAACAACACAGATATAATCATTTAAATCTAAATTATGACACATATTTTTTAAGCATTTGCTTGATATCACATGAAAAAATCTTCTAACAGACGAGAAGATCACTTGGAGCTGCTGCTTATCTGGCTCCACAGTGCTCATTTAATACTTGTTTCATCTGTTTAAAACTGTATCATATCAGCTTCTTTCATCCCTCTGTCTCTTCTTCTCATTGTTGTCAGTTTATTGTGCTATTATTTCTTATTAATATACACATGTTCTATCCAAAAGCACACTGTGTTGCAATATGTAAGTCATTCATTCCTTATGTATGCACATCTCTCCATCTACCCCTCTATCTACCTCTTCATCCATCCACGGAAAACATGATCATTACTCATTGATGGATACAGTAACAGTAAATAGGAGCACATTTGCTTTTTTCAGTGACAAAACATACACAGACACACACACACACACACACACACACACACACACACACACACACACACAAACACACACACACACGCACACACACACAGACTAATGTGAGGTCTGTCAGGATGGAAATGGAAAATCTGTCGTGCAGAACCTCACAAAGACAGTTTTGTCTTTCAACTGTGGCAGAGAGCAGAGACAAGAGTCTGTTAACTCTGAATAAAAACACAGAGAGCAACAACAGACAACTGGCAGGACAGGCGGAAGATGAGTGATGCAAAGAACCATCAAAGACAGCAGACAGCAAAATGAGGACAGAGACAGATTTAGATTTAAATCACACAATAGTTATCTCTCTAAACATTTACATTTAGATGGATATCCAATAAAAGCATATATAGTGACAGACAATAACTCAAGAGCTTTAAGATAAAAAAGCAAATACACAGACAGATGACATACAGTACAAATGAATACCCACAGAGAACTAATAAAGGTAAGACATTATGGACAGAGCAGGTAGAGAGAGTAATAAAAGCCTGTAAGAGAGAGACAGACAGTAACACCACAGATCTGAGTGACAGACAGGTCAGAGTAACTTTAAAGAAGAGGCTGTTTATCAGAGAGTGCAGGCTCAGTGAATATGGCTTGTATTCAGGTCTTCACTGTGCTCTTATCCTGTTTATATCCTAAATAATAATTTAAACTTTAAAAAAATAATATTTTAATTAATGAATAATTCTTACACCCCTAAAATCAAGATGACCTCACAACCCCTGTCAAGCTTTGGTGACCCCAAGTGTTGGGAACCAGTGAAGTAGATGACCCTGAGTTTACACAATCATTGAGACTCTTGGAAATAAATTAAGAATGCGTGTATGATGAGCTAATGAGCAAAATAACATTTTAAATTGGACAAGTGTATAATATAGTACATTGTTAATGTAAATAAAGTCCGCCAGCTGTTTAGGAAACTAAACTTTTTCAACTTTTTCTTTTTTATGGACGACAGGCTCAACTCAACAACTCATAGAAAAAGAAAGAGGAAAGGGTGAAGAGCCGGAGGTTTAAACTGTTCGAAAAAAAACCCTGCAAACAAAACGTAGACACAAAGAGAGAAAGACACAACCTGTGGCACATTTTCAGCTCTTTACCAGGCAGTCTGAAAGTGTTAAAGGGCATCTCTGACACTGTATTAAACTGCAAAACACACACACAGACACACACACACACACACACACACACACACACACACACACACACACACACACACACACACAGCTTGAAGTGCAAAGTAAAAACAAACTTAATGGCATCATTCTGTGTGAGGAGTAGAGACATAATGCTGCCAGTCTCTCAGCATGAACTTAAGAAATGAACGCTTGAAGCAAATGTGAGATACTTTACATATCTGAGGGAAGACTGAGAGCAAAGGAATCAGTGGTTTTTTTCCATTTGTGCAAAACATCTCAGCCGTCTCTGTCTAAATCTTAGTGTGTGAGTGGAAACGCCACACGCCAGCAAGAACCAGTGAGGCTGAAGTAACTGAGCAAACTATAAAGTTCTTTTGAAACATTTACCGATCCATTTACACAAAGTCTGCTTCTGATTGTCAAAAACATCCTACCAGTAGAAAGGCTCATAAATTTATGAAGATTACCTCTACAGTGCAGCCATATTGGAAGGAAAAGATGACTTCCTTTTAATAACCAGGTTCAAAAAGAAACTGAATGTTTCAAAGAGCATCTCCCCACACCCCCCACCCCATATCCACTGCATACAGACTCTAGTTTGTATTTCTTATAAGTAAACTAACTCTAGACTACAGTTCAAAGTGTATAAATATACACTGTATCAATATCTGTAAAGCCAGACTATCTAAACTGCATTCGAGTGATATATAATGACAGATGTCACACTGCAGAGGCAGCTCATATGTTCTGGCGCTGCTCTAAACTCGCAGCGCTCTGGGATTCTGTGCTGGGAACCCTGTCTGAGGTGTTTGATATTGATCTACAACCTACAGTGAAGAAAGCCGTCTTTGGGGTCCTAGCTGACGACATATCTCTGACAAATAGCAAAAAGATGTGATTACTTTTGCCTCCCTTACAGACAGGAGAAGGATCCTATTGGAGTGGACATTTTCTCACCCACCTAAAGTGATTTGATGCTCTTCCTTAGGCTGGAACAGATCAAATATTCCTCTAAGGGTTCAGCCAAAAAATCTAACTTAATTTTGGATCTTATGATCTTAACAGTTTAAAACCCTCCCACTAAACTGGCTGTCACACATCTCTTTCCCTAAGAGTTGTGATGGTTATGTCTGTTCCCATGGCCTGAGCCATAACGCAATCAAACAGTATGCAATCCAGAACTTGTTTGTTTATTTGTTCTTGGTTTCTTTCCTCTTTTTTACCCAACGTTCAATATTGTGTTTAAGTGGATTTATTTTCACTTTTATCTGAACCTCAGTGTGAACTGGCCTCTGCATGTGCCGAGGGTCAGGGAATGTCGGCAAGGTGGCTGATTCAACAACCGATGATTCCAGGAACGCCACTGAAGACGTATTCAGGAGTATCAGCAGGATATATCTGTGCAGTGTAAGTTACCATGCTATAATGTAAACAGATTGTTTAACTTGAACTAATTATACATGCAGGTTCGGTTATTGGTGGGAAACTTATTGTGTGGGTTAAAATATTTCTAAAACTTCACAATGTATACGACGTGTTTCCTTTTTGAGCTGATTAGTTTGTGTTGAACCTTCAGTATAAATGTATGAATGATGAGGTGTACCATACTACGACTGTAACTCCATTATTTATAATAATTCATAGTAACACCAGACTTATGTAGACAAGTAGGTTGACGGAATTTCTCATTAAAGCATTATTAAGCATAATTAATTATCTTAAGCATGACTGGTTATGTTTTTGCCTTTGCATTACTGCTTGGCTCCGTTGCCTCAGTGCATGACGAAGGAAAACTACAGTGCCATGACGTACTTACAGACAAATATTTTGTGCTGCTTACCACGTAGAGCTGCTTCCATAGTAGAGCCCATTCCTGTAGTGTTGACGTCACCTCAGTAACAATGGGGTCTTCCAGAGGCACCACAGTCTCATGCGGCCTGTACAAGGGTATGACAGAAAAACGCACACGTTTCATTCACAGTCATGATTTTAATGACTTTTATTAAAGTAAAGCACATTAAATAATCAACACAAAGAGCAACTATGTCCACCACACAACTAGATTTAACAGTAAGCAGTGAACAGACATAGAGAGAGAGAGAGACCCAGTAAACCGTTGACCTTGGTCTATTGTGTTGCCTTACATACAGTTAGGCTTCAACAATGGTGAATTAAAGTGATTTGTGTTTAGGCATGCCAGAGTAACAGACGTGGAACGGCCTGCACACAGCTACAGCTACCCACAATGTAAATCAGTGATCTGTGACAGCAGAGACACAGACAGAGTCCAGCCTGTCTGTTTGGAAAAATGTCATAATTGTGTAATGTGTAATTAATTATCACAAATGTTCACATAGAGTTATCATGTTGGACTGGATGTAACTGGGACATTTGTACACATTCATTAACTCACAAAACATGGTTGTGATTCCACCTGCACCTCATACACACATTTATCAGATCACCCCTCATAACTATCATAACACTGACACTTGCCAAAGAAACAGAGGGTTGATTGTGTTCAATTGACCTCAAGAGGAATACTATATTAGCAGATGGAAAAGGGCTGACTGGGCAGCTAAGTTAACATTTTCTTTCATGGCAGACATTTTGAGTCACTGCAGCAGGAAAAAAAGCACACGTGTAGCTAATGGAAGTGAAACAGTATGCACAGTACCAGCACGGCGGAAAGAAATGCAGCTATTAGTTACACCTGTGTTTGACAAGTCAAACTGTCCTCCACAGGAAAGGTCCATTAACTGCCATTAGTTCAGTTCATGTGATAAATTATTGGCAAATGTATCACATTCCCAGGGTTTTATTCCAGCTAAAAGGTCTTTTTATCAGAAGTGGTCTCCTTTAAAATCCAAATCCTTCACACTGGTCTAGGTAAAAGTTTGAATGCAGGATTTTTACTTGTAACAGAATAAACAGTTACTGATACTTTTACTTAAGTAAAAAAACTAAATACTTATTCCACTGCTGTAATATTCAGACTCATTAATATGCACACACTATTACTATACTTCCAAATGTTAACAGAACATACAGTATGTTGCTTTTACCTCATGATGTGTTTATTGTCTAGAATATCAGAGAAAGAAAAGTGTCTTTTGTGATGTTCATGCAAACACCTATAAACAGAAGGACCCTAACACAACCTCTTCCACACTTACCGTTTCCAAACTGAGTGAACCAGAAAAAGAAAAGGACCTCAGTTCACCTCACTGACTTAAAGAAATCCTTATGCGCTAACTTCTCCCCTTCCTTCCCTCTCTCCCTTATACATAATTTTGAACAAAGGGGAGTTGTTTGCTAAAATGGAAAGCTGAGTCACTGTCTCAGCCCTGGAGTCAGGAATATTAGAGCACCTCTCTCTGTCTCACATGCACTTCTTTATTCTCCCTCTCCTCCCATGCCACCTCTCTTCCCTCCCTGACTCTTGGTTTTTGCTAACGTATTCCTTCCTTTCACTCCCTCTCTCTCTCTCTCCCTCCCTCTCTATGTCTCATAACTGATTAATTAATAAAAGCCGTGTGCTAGATTAGCTGATCTCCCAGCTGAGCCGTAGCTGGCGGGCGCCTGGTGATTTCACCCACATTAGTTACACTTGTATCTCAGACACTTCTCCTCCTCTTCTCCTCTGTTCTACTTTTCACTCAATCTAATCTCCCTCTCTTTTTCCCTCCCTCCTTCTGTTCCTAGTAAAGTTCTCTCTTTATTCTGGCACATTCCCATCATTCCTCTCAGTTTCTTCTCTCTACTTTTTTCCTATCCCAGCTTGTTCCCTTTCATTTTATTCCTTTCTTTCCTCTCCTCTCCTTCATCTACTCTTTTTGCCTCCTCACTTCTTTCTTCCATTTCCTCTTCTGTAGTTTTCTCCCATCTCTCCCTACTCTTGTTTCCTCCTCGTCGTCCCTCTTCTACCCTCTTTATTTATCCCCTCTGCATTCTTATGTCTCAGCTTTCATTCCGCTTCCTCTGTCACCTTACCTGACCTCTCTCTCATCTAGTCTTTCTTTGTTTTATGCGTCCATATTTATTCCAACCATACCCTGATCCTCTCCTCTCTCACCTCTCTCTGAGCATCTCACTGACATTTCTCTTGTCCATCACTCTGAAGCCACTTTTGCTCCATCCTAATATTTTTATCTCGTCCACCCCAACAGTCTCTTCATGTCCATCTGTAATTGTCTATGAATTAAACACACTCACTGTCTCTTTTCAAGAAGATTTTTGGGAACTTTTTTTGTCTTTACTTTATGAAGAAAATAATTAAAGCCCACAGCTGCTTAAACTCTTGGTTGCTTTAAAGGCTATATATACATATGAGATGTAAAACACAAATAGAGCAACAAACAACAATCTTCTGTGTAAAGATATAGTGGAGTCATGGTGTCACATAGCCGCTCTGCTCCGTGTGCAGCTGAGTAGAGCGACTGAAACTGCTGTTTTTCTCATCTACATCAGTGATTTATACATTTATTTCCACCAAATCAGAGTTAGTGATTGAGATGATTTTGGTTAGTTTCCAGTTTTTGTCTATGGCGTCTGGAGGTGAGCCTTTCTATGGCTATTTCTGGTTATACAAAAGGTCTATCTCGATAAGGGGACACAATCTGAGCCTGTAAGTGGCAAAAACAAACTTTTTGGGACCTTACTTATAAATAAATTTTTTTTTGGCCAAAAACCCTTTTTTTGGGGGCCGGGTTGGCCAAACGGGGAAGAGGGGGAAAAAAAATAAAAAGGGCCCCCCGCCGAGGGGGTTTTAAAAAACCCCCCCCCCCCCCCCCCCCCCCCCCCCCCCCCCCCCCCCCCCCCCCCCCCCCCCCCATAAAAAAAAAAAAAAAAAAAAAAAAAAAAAAAAAAAAAAAAAAAAAAAACTTGATAAATATTTTGTGACGAACAAATTAAAAAAAGGGTTTGGTGAGTTTTAATTTTTTTTTTTTCTTTTTTTTTGGACTGACAATCTGAGCTCAAGTGCGACATCAGTGGCTAAAGGGACTTTTTTAACTGACACTGTTACAACAAACGTATGTGATTATGGCCTTTTTTATTTTTGATTATAGATAGACCTTTTCAATTTTTTTTACTTCTACTAGTTCCTAAACTACTAATGAGATGATTCACGCATCATTCTTTCATTTGAACTTCACTTTAAAGTACATGAGTCAAACTGATTCACAAACTAAACTGAATCTAAATGTCGGATCAGTCGGTGTCTGTGGCTGGACTGCGCTCATTAGAGGTCTCAGCATGCCAGCACAAAAAGAGCTCACACATGTTTGCTCTCGTTAGAGAGCATCAAAGATGGAGACACTGAATCTGACATTAGAACAAAGACAACTGTTAAGGGCTGACCTCAGCTATGGAGTTAATCAATCGCACTCTCCAAAAAGGTCTCAACTTTTAAAGGTCCAGTGGGACTCTATTGGCAGAAAGGAAATATAATATTCATATTATGATTTCATTAGTGTATAATCACCTGGAAATTAGAATTGTTGGGTTTTTGTTTATAATGAGCCGTTTTTATCTACAGAGGGTTCACCATGTATAACCTCCCTGTTTCTACAGTAGCCCAGAACGGACAAACCCAACACTGGCTCTTTATGGGGCCTTTCATAAGGAAGGCTGAACTGTAAAAAAAAAAACAAAGCTGAAAGACGCAGCTTAAGTAAGAGAGGCCTGCCTTTTTGAACTTCCACTTCTGTGGACTTTACAGGACATATTCCGTGTAGATAAGCCATGATATGCTGAGTTACAGCTACAACACAGTATTCATGTAACTGCATGTGCATATGAATAGCTTCTTTCAAAAAGGCTCTGTATACGTTAAGGAACAAAGTTATACTTATATAGTCACTACAAAAAGTGACCTTCCTGATTTCCCTCTCACAGTGAATCATTGCTTTTGTTGTATCAGCGGTTGAGGAGACACGAGGGAACAAAAAGAGAGCAAATAAGGAACAAAACTTAAGACCGAGGCAGGATGTAGAGGTTGAAGCATGAAAAAGAAAGAAGAGGACAGTGTGTATAAGAATATAGATGTAGTAGCCAAAAGGGAAATAAGGGAAATATGATCATTGTCATGCCTCAAAGAAATGTACAATATAATGTAAATAATAGGAATGTGAAGTACTAACTGTCCACTCCTATAGCAGTAAGCAGCATGGGGACACTACACTCTGTGTGGACTATAAAAATACAATTCATACATGTCTGTAAATAAGGTGTATGATTCTGTTATCCCTTTGTATTCACTCTCTCTCTCTCTGTGTATGACACAGTGGCACAAACATGGTGTCAGAGATGAGTATCATCAAAGTCCATATGCTGACATCAGGGTCAAATGCAGGACATCGGTCACTTGATCACAATGATCTTGATGTGAGTTGACTGTCACAACACTGCACTGCATAAACAAGTACACACACATACACACTGGGCTCTTACAATTGAACCACTCTTTTAAAGAAAGCAATCAGTTTCATGTTTTCGTGTTTTAATTCTTCTTTTTAATCTATATAATGCTCACTGTCAGCAACATCAATAACAAACATCTACATCGTTTGGGCGACAGATACTGTTGGTGCTGGAGCAAAAGGCTGATGAGATTTTGGTGGTGATCAATACCTGATATTAGTCAATAGATATATATTATATATAATATTAGTATATAATTTGATATTTATTTTATTATTTTATTCCATATTTGTGTAACAGTAACAGACTTGATTCCAGTGATTCTAAAACATAATTCACAACAATACTTCCAATAAATGAGGATCATAGTGTCCCCATCCTCATCAGTATGATGAAGATCTATCAGTGGCATGTTTTTCATATTTAGAAAACTATAACATTTGTTTAACGTTAGGGACGGATCAGTTTCTGGTGTTTGAACCATCGTTGAAAGACTTTTTACATCTAACCATCCACATAAACCTCCTGCCAAAGACTTTTCAATCACTTCTTGTCATCGTGAAATAAACATTATTAATTTGAAACAATCAATGTTGTAATTTTCTATGATGGACAGTCTCACTTCAGGGCATGGCAAACCAAACCACAGGGGGAGCAGAAGAAGAAAAAGTCTTCCTATCTCTTAGGAATATCTTTCAATTTGCCAGTGCGTAACCACACCTTATGTGCACCTGCATCAAAATAAGACCCCAGGAGTCCAACTGAAATGGCGAAGTAAAACTAATGAAGCTTCTAATCTTTCCTCAGGGAACACTGGACTTACAGGAAGATGTTTGTTTAGGCTGCCAGAGATATTTAATGTGCGTAAATCTGAGTTTCCATTTCCTGTTCTCATACCTGCATGTGTGTGTTTGAAAATGCCTTTCATACAAATGTGTTTGTACAACATGTAACTGCATCTTTGAGTCCGTGTGTCTTACTGCCTGCATGAATGCAGCATGTCTGTGTGTGTGTCTGTGTGTTCACAGGTTTATTTGTCTCTCCGGGTGTGATCCTGAAGTGCGGGGGTGCAGCTTTCTGATATTTATAAATGTCAGCTCTGAGAGTATTTATCCTGCAGAGAAGCAGACAGCTGGCAAAGCATTCTTCACAACATCCTGACAACTTGACGCAGCGTTGCAACTGGAAGCTGCTGCACATCGTTGTGTTAACTCAGCGTTGCTGGCTGGGCCGACTCAACAAGATCAATTTAAAATCAATAAAACATGTTTCGTACATGTTGCACTTACAAATATAGATATCCATATGTCACTGTGACAACTTAAACAAATGAGGGTCTGTATCTCATGCCAGAGTACTGTTACCTTTAGTGTTTCTCAATATTTAAAGGACCAGTGTGTAGGATTTAATGGCATCTAGTGGTAAAGTTGCAGATTGCAACCAACTAATTAACCGCTCACCTTCCAAGTGTGGAGGAGAAACTACAGAAACTTGCAAAAAACACAAAAGGCCCTATCTAGAGCCGTGTTTGGTTTGTTCCATCTGGGCTACTGTAGAAATATGGCGGTTCAACTACCTGGACAGGTTTAGGAAAAAGGTCATTATACCAGACGTACCTTACAGGAATAAAACGCAACTTAAGTTCATTACTTAAAAGAAATTATTCACTTTTGAAGTGATTTACTTTATTATTTACTTTTATTTACACGGGACACAAACAGCGGTCTCCTGGGTTCAAGCCCTGTGTTGGTTTGAGCCATCCACCACCTCCATATGCAGACTTTCTTGGATTCCTACAGTGTCATATTTTTAACTGGAGGGTCACTGACCAAGCAGCAGTATTTGACAAATTCAGAAGGAAACCGTGTTGATCTTCCACTGCATGGTTGTTAAAAAGAATTATACTAAAGCCTGTAAATGAATGTGGATCCCTTATTTATGAAATAATCTACTTTGATTCAGTGATGACTGCTGCAGCCTCATATTTATAGTTCGAGTTGGGAACCAAAGATAAAACAGTGTGCTGTCTCTCTCTCTCACACACACGCACAAGCACACACCCTCTCTCTCAACACACCCACACACACACATATATGCTGCTTTCAGACCCACTTGGTCAATAGTCCATAACTATATTTGTCATCGTGCACCAGCCGCCTAGAGTCAGTAAAACACACTCCGACTCGCTGCACTCAAAACTCTCTTTCTTTGCCCCGGAGGTCTACTTGAAACAGTAAAGGATTCACTAATTCCAATTAATTTACTCTCCCTGCCTTTAATTAAAAAACTCTTATGCAAATCGAGACACGCTCTGTAACTCTGATTAATCTGAAGTTTAAAAAAAAGCTTTTCCAATCATTATGCAAATGTATTAAAATATGTACTCTTGAACTTGGAAGGGAATCAGAAACGAGGAGGTTCATACCTTATTTAGAGAGAATGGGTCTCAAAACAAGTGATCCCAACAGAGAACGAGATTTCATCAAATTACCCCTTAAATGGCGTCAGCTCCAAAAAGAAGAAGAAAAAGCCTCCGAGCACTGTGGAAAATACTCAACTGTGGCATCATCCCAGAGAGACGAGAGCGACTTCAGAGTGTCTTAGACGATCAGATCAGTGTTGCAATGACAAAAAGATGCTGACATTCACAAGCTATCGCTATTAAAAAATAGACTGTTCACAGAGTGTACCCTGCTGCTTTTACTGTCCGAGGCACTTAGTTCTTTTTCACTGCTTGACATCAGAGTACACTTGAGAAAAATTACCAAAAAGAAGTTGTGTTGTGTTTGTGTTTGGGGGCTGCCGAGGCCCAAGAGGTGAACATTGATTTGTCTTCTTTCAGTTTCTAAGTCAAGGCAAAAGGAAGGAAGGAACTGAGTGATAACCTGATAAAAGGATCAAGCTGAAGGGGCTCATTCATCTTCAAATTCAGGACTTGCAGTCAAGTAATACCTCTGTGTGGAAAACACAGTCACAGTAAACAGCTATGTCACTTATTTTTCAGCTCAACAATGGTAGCTGTTATATTTTATCATAGTTAACTGTGTCAGTAGCATGTCACCTATCATATTGTCCATCAAAGTTTGGTTAAATGGCATTCAGCTTTATTTCTAAGACATTCTTATGGGAATATCTTTCTGAATATGATATGACGTCTGAACAAGCTGAGACTATTAAAGGGATCTAAAAGCATTTTGTGCTGTTTGCACCCTAAACGTGGAGCAGCTGCAGATCATTTGCATTTGATCTGCAACAGATTGTATCCACACCGCTAATTTATTCACACTTACATTACATTCTGCTTGGATTGATGTCCCTCTTTCACCAACTTCTCTCATACTTAACTGATTAAATATATAGCATCAGGTCTTTTCTTTCTCTTTCTATCTTATAACTTGTGGCTGCTCAGCTACAGTTACTTCATCTTGATTTAAATTTTGGTGCTATTGACATCTGTGTAATACAAAGGACATAAACGGATATTAAGAAAGGAGAAGGGGTGAAAACAGGCAAAAGGTCCAAATTTAAAGTCCCCCTCAGTCAAAAATGTGTTTATTTTCTTGTTCCTACTGTTGGATGTTTGATTTCACTGTGCACAATGATGTATGTGCAGCATTTGACACTGGCAATCCTGCTCCAGTATGCAATTTATATAAGTCTGATGTAAAAACCTGAAGCTACCAGTGCACAGACACTGAGAATGGACTTTACAGTGAAGTAGGAGGCATCTTGTGTCCAGCAGGAAAATTTTAAAAACGGACACAATTTGCATATTTATAGTTTCTGGAATGTTTAATGGGGTAGAAGGAGTAGATGACATTTGAAGGATTTTAATGAGGAAATTATACTTTTTTTGGTGGAAAAAACATATCAGACACACATTATTGTTCCAAGCAGACTATTTTTTATATATGTCTGGAGGGGATCTTTGAATTGTGCTCAGTATAGTCTTTAAAGGTTGGTAAACTTACCCTCGGTTGGTGACAATGGCTTTCTTCAAGTGAATGTAGCTGGCTGGGAAAACTCCCTGGAGAGACAGAGACAGAAAAAAGGTTAAGATAGACGATTAAAATGGCTATACTAATCTATGGCTATACTAATGAGGAGACACTGTATGTAGCCACGTGCACCACAAGCAAATTAAAATAAGGCAGCCGGAGTGCTCATCCTTTCTTCTTACAGCACAACATCATTAAAAGGAGTTATATAACATTTCCACCTCAGTTGATTGTTGTTCGAAGAGTCTCAGTTTATTCACACATGTACACAAAATGCCATGTTAACATTGTATTCGTATTATATGCTTTCTAACACTGAAACCTACAACACTGCTGACTGGTCATTAAATTCGGTGTTGATCTCAGAGGAGTATGCACTGTATATTAGAAAGAGTGTGAGCTTTCTGCCTTTTCTCCTGATGCTAGTACAACACGGACCTGCATAAGTGGCAGAAAACGGATGGATGGATTCTTACCCCCTCTTTCCACCTATACTTAGCAACTTGGTGGTAAAGAGCAAGTTACCAAATTCATAAGGATTCACCCTCTAGGAACATGAATGTCTGTACACAATGTCGTGGCAATCCATCCAACATTCAAAAGTGGACGACTGACTGACTGAACAACCTCACCTTCCTTAGAGCCTTTCCACTAGAATGGCTAAACGGGTTAGTAAAGCTTATTTTACGAATATTTAATGTAATGTAAAGCAACCCTCCACTACTCCCCAACCGGTAACACAGACAGACAGAACAAGCTAAAGACATGCAGAGTGAAGGCCTGTTCAGCACTTGCTACAAAGTCTTTCAGAGGTGCACTGTTCAATAATTCATGTAAAAGGTACTATGAATGTTATAATGGAAGCTGCTAGCATGCTAGGCGGGTTGCTTCATTTGTTTTAATATGACTGCAGCGTTTAATATAAACTCTCACGCTGCAGATGCAGTAAATACACAGAATCACAACACAGATGTTGGTGCCTCGTTTCAGTGCCAGAGCTGTCTCCTGAAATAGTTGCTCTCTGGTGCAGATACTGCAGGCAACAGTAAACATTACGTCACCCTGGTTGCTCACCTACTACCACCAGAGCCCACCAACAGAGCTGCTGTCCCATGAGTTTGTTTCCAGCCTGTGGTCCTTTGCTGCCTGTCATCCCCCCCTCCTCTCCATTTTTTGTCTATCTTGACCGGCTCTATCAAATAAAGGTAAAAAGCCCCCCAAAAAACATAATGGCAACACTCTGGCAGCAGGTAGCCTTCTCCTAGTTAGTAGTTACCTTAAAACTGTTAAAATACAGAGCTAAAGTGGAGGGTGCGAGATGCACCATGCTCCACTGCCTGTGTGACCCTGTGTCAAACACATCAGCCTGCAGTGTGGCGATGGCGAGCATAGATATAGAACAAAAAACATATAGAGCTTATTGTCACATAAACAATCATACGCAGTACAAAATATAGTGAAATGTGTCCTCCGCATTTCATCCTAAGTACTAGGCTCAGTGGGTAGACACTGTACAACGCCACAGGGACCAACTTCAGATCTGAGTCTGCGCCTTGGTCAAGGGCACTGACCAGAGGAATTACCCTGAACATAAATAACTACCTAACTATAAATAGTAGTTGCAACGTGTTCTCTAACGTGTCATTTGGAGACCACTGATGATGACAACAGAAATATTACAGCTAAATATTTCTGCCAAAGAATTACTGAAGTTTGAAGCTGGAGTTCAGCACCAATTCAATATGTACTTTTCTGTATTGTAACTGTTATTGAGTGTTAAATCATTGTAGTTGGATTAAGTATTCTGTCTGTGTTTTTTATGTATTCATATTTATACTTTGAACCGTTAACAGTTGTTATGTTGCAAGAGATGTAGTACTTTGTGTGCAAACTTAACTATAATGACACACTCATTTATGTTTGTGTTACCACTCATTTCATGATGTTTCATTTACAATATTCCCCCCTCACTTAATGAGCACCAGTCGTTGCCACAGACAGTCACTGTGCAGAGCTTATACTGCTGAACAATTGTCCCTCTCAGGTGCACTAATTCTCAATTTATCATGAAGAATCTTTGGTTTGCTCAGCTTCGCTACTTTCAGACTAGTTTTAATTGTCTACTGAATTAAGCTAAACAGATGTAAGGCGCCGTTCTCACCCCAGGTCTCTGAAAAGTCAATCAGTGGCTCTGCAGCATGTGTGGACCCATTGACACCTTGTAGTTCCGTGCTGCCTTTACTAAGTGTAAAAGTGAGCCACACTTTTTGCGGAGCTCGATATCTCTATCAGGAATGAAACTATTTGCTCGACACTACTGTAGGTTCTCCTACTGTATCTTTACACACTGTAACACACTACACACAGTATTCTTACTCAAATGTGGAAGTAATTAGGGATTTTGTGTCATAAAGTCTTTGTGTTTCAAGTGACTGGGGAAATATTTTATGGAAATTATGAGTGTAGAAGAAGAAAATGTTGAATTAACAAAGTGTAGCTGGCACTGCAGCAGTCTACTGAGACAAACCTGCACACTGGAGGGATTTCATTCATATTCTACTACATGTTTCAGTGAGGAGACGAAGAGCAGAGGCAGAGGGAATCTATTTTAGGTTGGACGTGTGTGCATTTCTGTGTGTGTCTGTATGTGTGTGTGCGTCTCTCTACTGGTGCTTGGTTGTTTTTTCATGTCTGAAAATATTCTTGTGTACACTGCTGTACGTGTGTGTATGCGTTAGGATCCTATTTGTGCTCCCTCAGTTGCAGAAAATGTACATACAGTATTAACTTAAGTGCCAGCACGTCTGTCTGTGTGTGTGTGTGTGTGTGTGTGGTGTGTTTGTGTGTGTGTGTTAGTGAAGATATATGTCCTATCTGTGCTCTGGAAGCGCAGCCTCCGGCGGTTAGGAGTGAAAGTCCCCTTGTGCCATCATGCATAATAACCCTGCTGTCTTTTTGGCAACATTTCAGCTGCTTCTCCTGTCGAGATGTATTCTGCTGCGCCTGTCAAAAGACCTTTTAGGGTCAAACATCACATAATAAAACACAGGGGAGCACCTTCCTCTGCTATTCAAGTGTGAATGTATTTTTGGAAGAGACAAAGAGGGTGTCGGAGAGAGAGAGCGTCTGAGGGAGACCTATAAAGACAGGAAGAAATGAGAACAATAGTGCTAAGGAGAAATAGAGTAAGTGTGGTTAGCCATGCATTTGACAGGAGTGGTTCAAGAGGTGCTGACCCTTCCTCCAGGGAGCTCGCTCAATTATCTGTCTGCCCAAAGCCACAAACACACAGTTTGGTTAAAACTCTTCACTACCTTTCAGAGGCAAATATTATAAATATTATACGTTTACGTGGTGCTTGGAGCCATGCTATCATGTTCACAATCACAATACAACCACAATGAGGTTTTATGTTTAGTGTTTACCATGTTAACACTAGTTTAGTAACCTTAGTTTGTTGTCATGCTAACATTTCCCAGCACTCCCACTAAACACAAAGTAGGCTGATGGGAATTCATTAGTATTGAAAGTATTTGTTTATCACTTTACCTTGATTATTGACTAAATCTAAGAGGTCCAGTCATATCAATCCAATTTTAGCATCACTGCTCTGGGTGCCCATTAAGCACTTAATACATTAAAAAATAATAATAATTACCTACAGGGCCTTCCATGGTCTGGCTCCAGACTATATAAAACACACCATACAACCTGACCAGTCCCCTAAGATCAGCTGGTCAGTACCTTTTAGCTGTTCCACTGAGCAGACTGAAAACAGTTACAACTCCTCGCCTTCCCCTCAGTGTGACATTGTCAGACTCCACTGCAGCTGCCTCCTGAAGACCCACCATTACAACATGGTCTACACTTAACAATGTTTTATTTGTGCTTATTTTAGTATCATCTGTCTACTTCTTCTTTTATATTCATATTTTTATATTTCATATGTTTGGATGTTTTCTTCTCCATATCTTTTAATTTGGAAAACACTTTGTGCTAAACATAGAAAAATGCTTCATAAATAGCGTTATTACTATTATTTGGGAGCATGGTGGCTCAGCTGTCAGCGCTGTTGTCACAGCAAGAAGATCCTGCGTTGGATTTCCGAGCTGGGGCCTTTCTGTGTGGACCTGCATGTTCTCCCAGTGTTTGCTCCTCTGGCTGCTCTGGTTTACCCCCACACACCATAAAAATGTGTATATTAGGTTAATTTCTACAGTCAGTGCCCGTGACCAAGGCACGGGCTGTATCTGTAATAGGTCCCTGGATGCTGTACAGTGGCTGCTCACTGCTCCTAGTACTTATTATGGGTTAAATGCAAAGGACAACTTTCACTATATGTTGTACTGTGTGTGATTGTATATGTAGTTTCCTCCTCTGGAGACCACAGATGTCATTTTAAGTACATAACTTTTAGAAATACGTGTGTGTGAGCCCAGAAACACAGAAGAACCCCGACTAAACTCAGCTGTACAACAATTGACAGAGCTGAACTGTGTCTGCCCCATTTTGATTTCAAGCTCATGTAATAGAACAATGTTGCTATGATAATGGAGACATCAGATGTAGACCAGGTAGTATAAAGACACACACACACACACACACACACACAGTACATCTTGTTCCTGTCTCTGCCTGGTTAGCTGTGACAACGGATGGTTGTTAACAGGTCAGTGCATTCAGAACCCCTCAGGCTCCTCTCTGATGCTACCTGGCTCAACGTGTGTGTGTGTGTGTGTGTGTGTGTGTGTGTGTGATGGGCAGGAGGTCATCAGAGTGTGATTCCTAATTTAGCTGATGGTATTGGAGCACCGGTTCACTTAAAAAGGTCATCTTGTTGCAGAATAAAATAGAAAAAAGGGAGGCAGAGACAAGGAGAGATAAAAATAAACAAACTGTATAGACAGACAAAGACAGAGACAGAGACGGAAGCATAATAAAAGATACAGCAGCACAAGAATGAGTGAACGAGAGAGGAACGGGGAGGAATAAGACTGCAGTAAAAATGTCATCCACCCACAAATAATAC